CACAAAAATTACACCACCACAAACTTCTGCACAGCGGGCGGAGCTGGCTGCAGTTATTTTGGCATTTCAACAATTTTCAAATCAACCTTTTAATTTAGTGGTGGACAGTCTTTATGTTTATCAAATTTTTGCTCATTTGGCTTGGTCATATTTGTCTCCAAGTCTTGACTCAATTCTTTTAAATTTATTTTTGACATTAAAACAACTTCTTGAATCCAGACATTATTCCTTTTATGTTGCTCACATTCGCAGTCACCAACCTTTGCCTGGATTTTTAAGTGAAGGCAACCAAAGGGCTGACTTCGCTACCAAACAAATTTTTCACCTGGATTCTTCTACTCCATGGTCTAGCCATGAATATTTTCATCAGAATGCTAAAGCTTTACAAAAACAATTCGGACTTACCCAACAAGAACCTCAAGCTATTATTCACCAATGTCCCTCCTGTGCCTCACAAGGCACTTCCTTACCAATGGGAGTTAATCCCAGGGGTACAGAAATTAATATGATTTGGCAAATGGATGTTACTCAATATCCTATGTTTAATCCCTGGAAGTACCTACATGTTTCTGTAGATACTTTCTCTGGATTCATCCTAGCCTCCCCTCAACGGGATGAGGCCACCAAATATGTCATTAATCATTGCATTCGGACTTTTAGTGTTCTGGGTAAACCTGCAGAATTAAAAACTGATAATGGTCCTGCCTATTGCAGTCAAGCTTTTGCACAGTTCTGTGATAGGTGGACTATTACTCATAAATTTGGCATTCCTTACAATTCACAGGGACAAGCAATTGTTGAACAAGCTCATCTAACTTTAAAAACCATGCTCGATAAATTAAAAACATTAAAAGGGGAAATGAGCCCCGGTTTGCCTGGAATACAAAACATGGTAAATATTGCTTTATATACTATTAATTTCTTAAATTTAAATGGACAACCTCCTAGCTCTGCAGCTAGCAGGCATTTTTCTTCTTCTTCCTCTACAGGGTCTCTCCGGCCTTTGGTTTTGTATCGAAAATTGCCTGATCCTGCCTGGCGCGGTCCTGCAGAATTGATTTCTTGGGGCCGTGGCTATGCAGCTATTGAAAC